TACAGCCACTTGAGATGAAAGAGCAATCGCAGAGTCAGATTTCACATGCCACACATGGTTTGTACATGAGCACATGAAAATCAGGGAGCACAAGACAACATGCACAAAGTGCACCAAGATGTTTTGCCGTCCATGAAATTCCCAAGAAATTTCAAAACTGGGAAACACGCTTTGAAAATAATGCCCTGTCAATCATGATTGAAGGGCGGCTTATTTCCAAAGCATGTTAGTGGCAAAACAACTGCAGTATGAAAAAGAGCTCCCCACAATATTTGGGCATCAAATATTATTATCGCACATGCAAGCGCGCATCTCTTTTTTTTACGGACGGTTTGTACCGATGCGTGGGGGAAACGTCTAGAAGTAGTGCGATTGCATGATGAACCCACTTGGCAAGGTCACACGTACCATGCCTGCATTTGTGACATCGCACAGACGCGTGAGTATCATCCCCCCCGCAAGATCGCGCAGCGCGATGCCAAGAAGATCGGCACGCCAGAACTAGTCCCACGAGCTGAGCGCTTCCTTAGCAACGCGAAGGGCATCGACTTCAAAACGTTTCCCTAGGCCCTCCAGATCGGCGCCACGAGATGGCGGATCCGCGATGTTAGAGGCAGTGTTGACTCTTTCGAACCATGCGTTCACGCACATGGTATCAAGAAGGTCATGTGTGCGGTTGACGATGAGTGCCCCACACTCATTGTCCGACGATCCCGATATCATGGCTCCAAGCGTCCCCTGATTGTTGGAGAACACGACCACGTTGCGGCCCCGAATGAGGCCCGACCACGTGCATAGGCCCAGTAGGATGGCCAAGCACTCATATTCAAAGATAGGGTTCCCACTACCGGGACTAATCAAAGATCTGAGCTCGTCGCATGCCCACACGCTGAAGCACGCAACCTTGCACCCCGATCCAGAAATTAGTACCCCTCCTAGCCCTACCCTATCGCCGTCATGTGAGGCATCAACGCACATGTGCCAAAGGTGCAGCATGTTGGAACACAGGGTTCGAGGCGGGCCCTCGAGGAAATTGTCACGCAGGACTCCGACCCTGGGGTCGCCGCTCACAAGGTGTCTGGACAGCGCCTTGTAAGCGAGGCCGGCACGCTTCCCGGCCACTTGATTTGACGCAAACTGAATCCTGCCCCTCAGGCGTTGGCACTCCTTGGAGGTTAGGAGCCCGCGGGACAGGATGTCAGAGATCAAGTCGATGAGTTCTTGTTTCCTTTTGCTGGTGTTCCGGATAAAAGGCTGATCTTTGTCTGCAGAGGTTTCCCAACCTAAGATGCGGAACAGAGTCTCCACGCACAGTTCAAACACCTTGGCAAGCGGGGGGACTTCAGCACCTATGTAGTCGTCCACGAAGATGCTCCAATGGAGGAGTAGTAGAGTGAGTCCGACCCTCCACATCCCGAAGGAAATGCGAATGAAACCATGTACGGACGATCTCGCCCCGAAGGGCAATACCTTTTGAGAGAACAGCTCTGCCTTGTTTGCCCGCGGATTGAAGAGCGAGAGGAAGGCTTCGTCCCTAGCTTGGATGCTCAGAGGCAGGTTTTTGTAAGCCTTGCGCAAATCCCACGCACGGGTGTGCACTCCACCATGATTGCGGCATTTAGTGTCGTGGTGTATTCTGTAGCATAGAATACGGCGGCTACAGTGTCGGCAGAGTGAAAGGCCACGCTGTCCACAGAAGAGGCTGTGGCATTAACACAGGACGCCTTGAAATCATCTATGGGGCGACACTTGTCCCCCTGCCATATCCCGAATCTTCGGGACACCACGGATGTGGGTCCCAGGGAGGTGGTGTCCAAGGGTCCGGCCAGCCACCCCTTACTCACCTCCTTCATGGTCGCCTCGTAGAGCGCTTCATCCAAGACGGCATCCCCGGATGAACCAGTGTTGGCCATCGTTATCTCTCGCATGAGAGGCGCGGCACGGTGAAGTTCACGCACAGGCATTGATGCAAGAGTCAGTTTTGGCTTGAACTCTCGGCAGCCCGGTATAGGACCGCTCAAGTCGAAGCCACGAGCAATGTCCTGCACCAAGTCGGTGTCACGGTGACCAGCTTCTCACTGAGAAGCTCGTCGAAGATGGCCAATCTCTTGCGCTCGAGCACCTCTAGGCAGTGAGTTGGCATGTTGTCTCGTATCTCCTCTTCGTGCTCCTGAACTTCGCGGATCTTCAGGACCCACTTTCTGAGCTGCGACGCCCTACGCGCACCAATCTCACGCAAGCTCATGCCTGCGAGGGTGTGAAGGGTTTCCTTCATTGGGGCAGGTAACCCGTTGAGCAGGTGCGTGGGATGGCCCGCCGACACTGCCTTCTCGATCAGCCCTAGGGGGGAGAGGACTAGACCCACAAAGACCCCTATCGGGAGAGGTAACCACCTCGGGCCCGGTCGGTGAGGTGGTTTCACACGCGTCGTGTAAGGCTCCAACGAGCGGCAGAGAGAAGCCCAAGCCTTCGAGCCTTTTTCGGTCCTCAGGCACTAATCTCTCATGGAACTTCGCAACGAAGGCAACTAACACGATCCTGTCACCTCCTGACCAAGGAGCTTGGCAATGCCTTTTGGTGGGGCCCAGAATGATCCTGTCATTCACAAAGTCAAGGATATTTTTTTCTGAGATCGGCACGGCCTGGTGCCGGGCATGCGTGTGGGCCTGTGTCACACTCTACCCAAATTCCGCCCTGACTAAAGGTGGAGATTTTCAAGACAGCGTTGGGGAGGCCACGTTCGTTGTTTTTGTCCACATGGACCCCGGCCATCAAATTTTTCCCCAGCACGAAAGTGGTGAAAGGGTGGCCCGGCACGCTTTGCCTTATGTAACGGCATATCAGTCTGCACACCTCAGAGAAAGCAGCGACATTCTTGCGCAACCCAACCAGTGCCCCGTGTGCGTATGATCCTGCGGACCAAGAACCAAGACATCTCATCCGAGAACGCGCCACCCCGGCTGGGATGTTCAGATTTAAGTAGCGCCACCAAATCGATGATGTCGGCTTTGGTCACTGGCTCGTGGGGTCTGCTTTCAAGGATGTGGGACGCAAATGCTTCGGCGCTGAGGCGATCACTGATCTGATCACGCACTGGGGTTGAGGTACCACCCGGGGTGGTCATGACACGGGTTAGGGCTGCATCACTGCAGGGGTTGGACGCAATATGTTCACAAGACGAATCTTCAGCGGCAGGCACCACCCCCACAATGTCTTGCCTCAAGATTCGGGACCCGGCTGGCAACGAGGTAATGGGAACCGAGCAGTCTGCGTTATCAGGTTTGACCTCTATTTTGGTGATTCCAGGGAAGAGAGGCTCGCTGCAGGTAATGGTAATGATCTGAGCGAACTCTGGCACGAGGGGAGGTAACCTTTTGCCTCTTGGTTGTGTGTTTGTCGCGGCGGCTGCCTCAACATGCTGGGCTGATGCTCCTGGCTGCATGCTGTCTGGCGCAGCTTGAAAACCTTTCTTCAGGAGGGTTCGCAGGATGATGTCGGCTATGCGGCGACACAAGGTCCAGGGGTAGACCTTTTCTTCAGAAGTTGCAAAGGCCTTGCCACTGCGGGACCACAGCAAGTGCTGATGTCCTTGGGACTCGCCTGGGCACATCAAATGAAGTTCGCTGGAGAGGTCAATGTTGTGAGCCAGGAGCGTGGCTTTTGCACGTTGGCCTCCATGCTGGCAATTATGGAAAACGACCTCTTGGAAGGCGAGGCCCTGTGTCTGCGATACCCAACCTAAGGTTTTCCAAAAATAACTATTTGCAGGATTCTCAACTGACACCATTTTGTTGAGGCGTATGCACTCGGCAAAGATGGTGCCCGTGCGCTCTAATACAAGAGATTAGCCTTCAAGACGCGCTCCTTCATAGGACGCCCTGCAAGGATGGCAATCCATTGGGAAATTCATCGCTCCGGGCCGGAGGTGGCAGCTGTTCACCTGGCCTCTGGATATCCCTAGCGCGACTGGAGGTCCCGCATGGGGGTGCTAGATGTACGTAAAGGCAAAAAGGGTTTCGGACGAGATCCAAGACCAACCTGAACTGATCAGGGTCAAGCATGTCTAATTTGATGATGGGCGAATTAAAGTGTTGAGCCAAAAGCTT